AAACTCTGTGAGATAGTTGCAGATCACTCAAGTGCTGGTCAGGAACTGCATGCGTGCATCATTTGTGAATTTAAGAGGCCACGGATTTCAGACTTACTTTTTGAGTAAAATTCATCTATTTTGTGAAAACCATGTGGAGGCCTACCGGTATTCACCTTTAGAAATTGCCTTGTGGAGACCTTTACAATCTTTTGTTCCGTATTATGCCCGGGTCTCCACAAGGCATCATTTTTCGAAACACGTTATACACAACACGTGTGTTTCATAGCAGATTTCTTTTAACAAAACAAATTGTAAAGGGTTCTTACATCGGTCGGTACAATGCATTGAGGTTCACAGAATAGGCTTCCAATCTTTCAGCCATTCATGTCAGATGAGATTATATCGATCCATCGGTTGGATGGGTCACTGTAAAGCAGAAAATAGAAGGGGAAAAAATATGAGTGATTCACAACAATAGTGAGTCAGGATCTCTGTGCATAGTGTGTGTGATCAGTGATGCCTTCCTCAAGGCCTCATGGCCAGAGAGAATTCTGGCATTTGATTATCTGTCCAGTTGGTCGGAGTGGGAATCTAGGTTCTTGGCCAAGGGAAACTGTATTTGTTTAAATATTCCCAGAGTGGCAATATTGTGTAAGACACAACTGTTCAATCAAGTTGTGTGCCAGTATATAATCAGTGTATATTGGCACACAACTCGATGTGTGTGTGTTATGACATGTATGAACTGCGTGACAAAACATCCACCCACATACATGTACCGGTATGCACTTTTTTCCATGTTTTACATTGTAAAGATTTTATGTACAGTGCATCCGTATTTTATAAGTGTTGGATGGAGTATTTTTTCTTTCTTTGATATTTCTTGAGAGATGTTGACATTAGGAGAGCATACATGTACCGGTGACAATTGTGTAAACAAGGTCATATTTTCCATCTTCATATTTATGTACGGTAGTCGGTATGTATACATATGTACAAATGCAAACATCAATTTCTCACTATAAAAACTGCTTTTTTTTTGTATTTAGCAAAGTTGGCTATTGTTGTCTACCCCACATGTGGTGTACCCTCAAAATGGTATTGCCTGAAAGCATACATGTACATGTGTATGTACATTGTACTATGTAACAATGCCCTGAATTGGACACATGTAGGCTGTACATCATGTAAAGTACGGGTACATACATACAGGTACATTATTTCATTTGTTGCTAAGGAGAATTTATGCAGAAATTACTAACAGCAGCATTGTCCATGGACTACAGTGTGCTACAATGTACTTAATCAATTTGTACAACAAATATACATTGACTTCCATGCATTAATATGTGTGTACTTTGAGAAGTGCATTTCCTTTTGAAACATTGACCGACTGTCCAGGTTTAACAAGAAATAGTTTACAGGTGGAAATGGCGCAAACCTTGAGCTGGGTATAAACTTCCTGTAGATAAGCCAAGAGGGTTGTTTGTTGCTTTTTAATTCAACATGACCAGGCAGTGGACATGGCAAACAGGTACAAGTACAATGCATATTATGTACAAGGTTAAAAGTAAGGTAGCACTTTAAAATTTAACACGCGTAGTTGATGATGAGCATTTCTATCATCCTACATGTACATGTACATGTACATGTACATGTGTGTTCAGTACATCTTCACCTGTCCGGTGCACATGGTCAACTACATGTATGAGAACTTTTAACTGAGAAATTGGCATTGACTGCCAATTTAATCAAGCATGAGATTTTTCAGACTTGAGTTTGAAATCCGACTTTTTGAATCTGAGAGAAAATCATTATCAGTGTAGAAAAAGACCTCTCATCCAATGTTCAGACTTAAAAAAAGAATTGACAATATTTTCCCCGTTAAAGTTGATACATTATATACCCTGTGCTCTTCAAAAACAAGATTTTTTTTCTTCCAACAACAATTTCCATGTTTTGTTTAAATAACCAAAAAAACTACTTTATTCCAATTTTGGGCGTCTGCAACCCTATGAAAAAGGGCTTCCATTTTGCGCACAAATTAACCCGCCCTGCGAGAGGCTAATTATTGTCAGGCAGCCAATAATTTAAATTTTGGAAAGAAATAATTCAATAACTAAATGTCGGTGGATCTTTTTTTCCGTATGATGTCTCGTTCAAAAGTGAACAACTTTTATCTTGATAGGGAATTAACAATTGAAAAACACCCCAAATTTTCAAGTTGAAACTTATAGTAAGGGGAACGCATCTTTAATTGCCACTGTAGTATTTTATCTTGGCTATTTCATCTTATCTTTGTTTTGGAAGTGGAACTTTGACCACTTTCACAAGTACAATGTGTTCAACATTTATGAATTAGGCTTTCTTTAAAAGCGTTCATGAAGTAAATTTTTCTCAGGAACATACTTTGTGCAACTTTCTACTCCTTGTAAAATGTATGAAAAATATTTGACATCCCTTTTTTGATTCATTTTATAGCCGTAGCATTGAGATTTCTGCCTGAAATTTCATCACGCATTTGCTCATGAATATGGAAATTGGCATTAGCATAAAAAAAAGGCACCAATAGGCCTACACCCTTGAAAATGGCAAAACAAAAATTGAAAATACCGGTCGGGTTCAATGGGACACAAAGGTGTATTTCTGAGGATGGGCCCTCTGAAATAAACATGGAACTTTTATTTGTATCTTTTCTATAATGCACACTTGATATGTTGAACTTTCCGTTGAACTTATTTTTGTTGTTGTGAATTAAATCATCACATGTATGATGACTACTTTATATCAGTGACTATAAGCTAAAAAATGCCAAGTCAAGAGCTTTGTTTATCACTAATTTGTAAAATTTGCTTTTAACAAGAAAAGGCAGCGCGCGTGGGCGACACTTTATCAGCACGACTAGTCATAGGCCCGTAGTGTGCCATTACGCATATTTGTATCTTTGGTATTGATTTGTATTGACGGTCATATCTGTGTGCGTGTGCGTGCGCAGATCAGTTGGGCCTACACACGTCAGTGGCAGTGTGTATACGGTTCTGTGTATGTTTGGTCAGTGCACTGAGTGCAGCCTGACATTAGTGGGTTCATAGTGAATGCATGACACACACTGAGTAATGGTGCACAGCTCTGAATCATGCTTGTTTGGTTCGCATTGGATCAGGCTGCATCAGTGATTAGCGAAGGGCTAGCTATTGGCCTTATTCTGTGGTTTATGTACCTGCAATGTACATTGTACATGTATGTATAAATTTACAAGTGTATGTGGTTGTGTTAATGTATTTACATGTATCCGGTACATGTATGGGTATAGGAACAATGTACCGGTACATGTACATGTACAACGTACATTTGTATGCATGCTGTACAGTGTGCTGTGTGTGTACAGTTCATTTCAAAATTTGTGTACTTTGTACATTAACATACACACATGTGTACACCTTCTTCATTAAGGCCGAGTAAAAAATAAGGAGTTTGTCGTCCAACCTTTTTGAAAAAATGAAGGAGGCTGGCGCTTTTTTTGGCTTGCTTTTTTCCCCAAAGATGGCAGATTTTCCAAGATGGCGGATGGATTCTTTAATTTTCTCAACTGTTTTGCTGAAAAATTGTGTTAAAAGGAGCCATTACCCTTTCTACATTGGGGTAGTTACAGTTTTGTTGGAAACAAATAAAAAGACAATATATGGAAAATAATACAGGTAACGGTATCTGCAAAATATATTGCGAATAAATGAATAACAAAAAAACACTATAATATAAATGAGGGCAGCTGGGAACGGGCTGGATGAAAAACTCAGTGGTTTATTTTTTTACCCGACTTTATACATGTACATGTATGTATGTATACATTTACAGTGTAATTGTACTTAAGATTACTTGAAAATTAACAAATATTACGTGCCGGGGGTACACCTGTAGCACAGTTAAAAGTGTTGGAAGGACATGTACGTGTAAGGCCAGATGTACAGTTGAACATGTACATTATTACAAGTACATGTACATGTAGATCAATTTCTGTTAATGTCATTTTGGCAAAAAGACCCTAATTTACCAAACTGAGTTTACTGTATGCAGGAAAATGACAACATAAAAAAACATTTTGAAAATATAATGTTTACTTTTAGATTCAATTTTAGTGTATAGCAACATCTTGCTGTAAAATGTTTTCTCAGAAATTTCAGACCTTTTACCATGGAGCAAAGGTACCGGTACTGCATGTGTACATCCATTACAATTGTCACATTATGAATAAAGTCGGTCAGATTACTGCAAACAAATTTTGATTGATTCGAGGAACTTTGGTTTTGAAGGTCCCTAATATCTTGCTGTAAAATGTTTTCCCAGAAATTTCAGACCTTTTACCATGGAGCAAAGGTACCGGTACTGCATGTGTACATCCATTACAATTGTCATATTATGAATAAAGTCTGTCAGATTACTGCAAACAAATTTTGATTGATTCGAGGAAGTTGGGTTTTGAAGGTCAATTTTCAGTGATGGGTAATAATTTGTGCAAACAACTCACCAAATATGGGTCCTTGGTGTCAGATCGTTAGAAAATTGACACCTACTGGTACATGTACTTGTACATGTACATGTATGTAAACATGTATGACATTGTATATATTGTACCCACAAAATATTAAAGCGAAGTCTGTCATGAGCCAATATGGCCCATCAGGCCGGCGTTTGTCTCCCGATTTCCATGGCATGAAATGACTTAGAATATTTCGATTACCCCTTTGTGGGAAGGCCAGCCCATCACAGGTTACTTCCCAGCTAATGCCGGTACCATTTATACTCCTGGGTGGAGAGAGGCAAGTGGGGTGAAGTGGCTTGCCGTAGGACACCAAATATGACCAGCAGCTAGATTCGAACCCCTGACCCTCTGATCGTGAGACATGACACGGACACGAACCCTAACCATTACGCCACACTCCCCCATAGTTTTTTTTTACTGGAATTATTTAATCATTTGTTTAAATAATGTTTGTTTCTCCGTCTTTGTTTGCTCGCAGGATCTGTCCTGGACTGTACAGTTAGTCTTCTACAGCGGAGACTGATTCACTTGCTCAGACGTCCCTGTCTGTAGCATGAACGACAGGCAATATGTGAGTTACAAGTCCCAGATAAATTAGTGACACACATGTAGGAGGGGGAGAGGAGGGGGAGTAGTGTAGGAAGATTACGTACATGTACTTGTCTATCAAAAGGTTATTACTTATAAACCTTTTTTGTTTGTCTTGGTTACGATGTTTGACTCACGTACGATGGTGCGTGGGTTTGAACTATGCCAGGAACATAGTGTTTGTGTCTTGGGCAAGACACTTGACTACAATTGCCTCTCTCCACCCAGGAGTAGGAATGGGTACCTGTAAGGGTAGAGGACCATCTGTGCACTGATATCGGCTGTCACGTGGTCTCATGGCCCAGACAGCCATGAGATACTTTCAAAAAAAAATTAATTGAAAGGGGCCTTTAGCCCCCTACTTCAAAACACCACCTCATATATCCCTAATTATATTTGTGTCTCTGCCGATTTTCTTCTTCTCCCAGAGAATGGCCCATTCTCAACAGAAGATGCCCACTGCACCATCGGTTATGAAGCCTGGCAGCAGTAGCAGCAGCAACAACAGTTGCAACGCCAAGTTCCTAAGCCAGTTCAGCAGCGTGGAAGTCGGCGACACGCAATTCCTCATTCTCAATCGGTACCAGAGTCTCCGATCGGTAGGCTCAGGAGCGCAGGGACTAGTTGTGTAAGTATTCATGTCGATTTCGGGTTGGTGTCGAGATGCTTACGTGACATGGGTGGTCCAAGGTTCGATTCCCTTCTTAGGGGAGAGCACGGTTCCACCCTTGCCAGTGGCCGTGGTTAGATTCCTGCCAGTGGTACTATGCAAATAGGGTTAGGAATGCTGTGATTTGTTTCAAAATCACTGCCTGATCATTCTGATCTGCCTGTAAGTCCTGCCGGTTTTTCTCTGTTGGCACCCTGTAAATTATTTCAAGAGTTAATGCTGTTATAAGACAGCACACAGAAACCTATTAGGTACATTTACGTTTTATAAAGGGAAAATGACTGTATTGCTTTTCCATATGTCTGTTTTCGAATGAACTCCAAACTTATCCATAACTCTGTACAAGTCAGTTTTTCAATTTTCACTTAAAATGCATGATTTGTTACTTCATGCTGTGACAATGTTTTACTTTTTAAATTTATTTGTTGGGAACTTCTATGGTGTCAGACGTACATTTTGGACAATTCAACAATGTGCATAATAAAATGTATAATCACAAAGTGGATTTGAATTGTGATAAAATGTATCAGTTTGTTACTACATTGATTTAAAGAAATCGTTCTTCCGGCTTTTTTGGTAATAGAAATCGGTTCGAAACGTCATGGTGTCGGACGTGTCCGACGAATTATAGCAACCGCGCGCGCCTGTGCGTCATGCCAATGCTTGCACCCGCTGCGTCGAATAACAAAACGAACTACTAATTTAAATTTTCCTACGGAGCGTCTTAACGTTGGAAAGGCCTTCTTTTGTTGATTACTTAATTAATTAATTAATTAATAGATTAATTTCACAGGGGATTTAGTCCACTTACTATCTTTCGACCAAGTATGTTTTCAACAATAATACGCCAGTTACTTTTTCGGATGGCTGCAAATGATGGACTATAGCTTTAATCATACATGTCGGTGTCATACATGTCGGTGCACAATTATTGAAAGGAAATACGCAAGTACAGATATATATTTCAGTTGAACCATTCACATAGTCATAGTTCAAACCCATTGACAGTATTATGTCACATGCAGGTTTTCCCCAATGATTAATACAGTCACACATTTGATATCAAAGTGCAAAGTGCCCAGGTACTGTGTGTAGCTGTCATGCAATCGTACGCCAGCCAGCGACCGCATGACGGGGTAAAATATTCCTGGGAACATCCGTTTGTATTTTTATGTATGTCAAATCTGTTGTGGTTACCAGAAATACAAACTAACGCGACAATTTTGGGAGGAAATGAAACCAGGATGTTTTGGAAAAGAGAAGGGAAAAAAATACAAAGATCATAGAACTATTTTTAAAAAAAATCATATACACTGAAAAAATAAATCTTTGAAACATTGGGTACAACTTAAAAGTGATTACATGTTCATCATCAAGTGATCATCATTGGCTGGTGCAAATGATGAGTTTATTGCATATTTGTACAACTGTCTTAGCGTGTTGCCAAAAATGACTTATTGAATTCCAAAGCGTACATGTACCGGTACATGTAGATGCATGCCCATCTCTCTTTAAAAAAAAAAAAAAACAATTCTTGAAAAAATATCATTTTCCCCCCAGATTTTTGGCATCTATTGATAGATCTAGATAGATAGAATGATTTCGTGAATGTGATCCTTGGAGGGGTGACCACTGCCTTAATCCTGCAAAATCCTCCAGCACTCCTCAGTATGTTTAGGCAGAGCCAGTGACATGCTGGAGCATTGCAGAATATTTCAAGTATTAATCTTGGCCTAAATTTATTCACGGCTGAGCACAAACAACACAAGGTCCGGCCCAAGACCTTGACACAGTGCATCCTGCAAAATCAGTCACACCTTTTTGCCATATAGCCTCAACCCTGCAAAATCCTCTATTTTGCAAAGAGGGTTTGGAGGACGTGGGAAGATTAGGGTTACTGATTTTTCCCCTCAATTGGCAGATAGAGCTGCTTATTACACAGGAGCAGAGCTGAACAACTTCTTACTATTAACATGGAATTTTAAAGTAATGCTATTTTCTTTTTCTCTGTCATTCCGCAGAGCTGCCTATGACACAGTAACAAAGCAGAACGTTGCAATAAAGAAGCTTAGCAGACCGTTTCAGAATGTCACCCACGCCAAGAGGGCGTACCGAGAACTCTTACTCATGAAGACGTGCAATCATAAAAATGTAAGTCAAGGAGTACCTTTGTGGGTGACCCACGTCCCCCACACGTCCCCCACAGGTTAAAGTTATATCGACTTGATCATATGTGTACCACATTTTTAAAAGACAGTGTTTCTGTACCATATGACTTGGACAAGGTGTTGTGTAGTTAGGTAGGAGATGCCCAAGAATGGTTTATAAGGACACCTGACTGTACCTGACTATTCCTGAGCTAGAACTAAGACCTTGTCCAAATTACTTGCCTACGGCTGGAATTTACACACACGCCAATGGAAGAGGCTACAGCCACTTCCCATAGACCCGTGTGTAATTTCTAGCCGTAGCCATGCAACTGGTCCAAATTTTGTGACACATACATGTAGTACATGTAACAGTGTCATTCAGTTTTGCTGAATTCAGTTGTGACTGAAAGCAAGTCAGATCATGCCCTGATCTATCAAAAATGTCCTCAAGTTTTCTGCTGACATTAGTTCAAATCACGGCAAGTTGGCCATGTTTTTGTCGACTGTAAACTTGAAAAATGGACTCTCCAGGACAGTCTGTTGATGGCGCACTGGATTGGAAATCTCCTGTATTGTTGAGCATAACTTATTTTGTCTAAGTAACTTGTGCTTGCTAATACTGTGAAAATTGCATGACATGTTAGCTAGAATCCAGTTACTTCCTTTTTGTGCTAAGCTTAGTTCCTCTTTTACAAAGCATGATTCTTGCTGCCTAACAAATTCTCGAACCTTTCAGTTTTATGAAATTGTCCCCTTTGTTTATTGCAGTTGCACTTACAAGTAGCACAGAAATTTGGTTAAATGTCATCAACTCTTGTTGTTTGTTTGTTGTTTTAAGATTATCGGCCTCCTAAACGTTTTCTCACCGCAAAACACGTTTGACGAGTTCAGCGACGTGTACCTGGTGATGGAGCTGATGGACGCCAGCCTGAGCCAGGTCATACAGATGGACCTGGACCACGAACGACTGTCCTATCTTCTCTACCAGATGCTATGCGGTATCAAGCACTTACACTCGGCAGGAATCATCCACAGGGTGAGTGGGCTTGAGAGGTCGGAAGGGGTCACAAGGTCTGGGTCAGGTCATGGGGTCATGAGGTCACAGGGTGACAAGGTCACAGGTCAGAAACCTGAGTGAGCTGTTTATCATTTAAATTTGATGAACATAGTAAACAAAAAAATTGCTCAGTGGAATAAACAACTCGCAAACCAAAACGTGTGATGAAAACTTGGCTTGTGAGTGGTAGATGGGTAATTTTTAGTAAATTTGCAAACTTAAGTATTTTTTTTGCCGTAACAGCTTTGGGAGACAGGTTCCTTGTTCAGGTGATATATTTGTGGCATGAAATTGCTTTAAATACCGTATATGGCTGTCACTACATTCAGATATGTGAAAAACGATGTAGAGATAAGCCATAATGACCGAAATACTTGGCTTACAATTCCACATGCGTCTATTGAAGTGGCTGAATCCACAGACATTTCCTGTTGGCCATAGCCATTGGACCTAGCCATAGTCGTTATATATCTTTACTTATTTCCTGTATCCTCCATGTGATCTTTTGCAATTCTGTCAGGATTTGAAACCGAGCAACATAGTGGTCAAGTCGGACTGTTCGCTGAAGATTCTGGATTTTGGCCTGGCGCGCACGGCGGGCACAACGTTCATGATGACACCCTACGTAGTCACTAGATATTACCGAGCGCCAGAAGTCATCCTAGGCATGGGCTACAAAGAAAACGGTGAGTGGAAGAAATCTGTCTTGATGGGATATTGCTAATTGCTGCTATTAAACTTTGAAGACTTAAGGGGCAAAGTTTTTCTAAAAGTTTGACACTCAAAGAGCAGACTCACCCATTTTTCCTCCTAGCGACTTCGCTACAAGGTGGCGACCGCATAGAAACAACCTCTAGTCAGTCATTTCTGGTTGGGAATTAAAAGAAATTCAGGGGTGAGATTTGTCAGGATTTGTCCTGGTTTCAGGATTTTTTTAAGAGACGCCTTTGAAATCTGGGATTTGTGAGATTTTTTACCATTATGGTCTCTGTGCTCTAGGGCCTCAGTGGCCCCGTAACCCTCTGCCGATTATTTCATGGATTTCTCATTTCCTCCAATTCTCACCCTAAAATATAAATACTTCTCATTTGAAACTTCTCTTTCATTTTGACATGTTTTATTTTACCGGAAGTTGTACCTGTACATCATACAGTTGAAAGTAAATTTTAGTTAAAAAAAATGTGGTACATTCTGTAGTGGCTTATATTCCCTCCAACTGCAGTCCAGACAAAAAGAAAAAACCGTGCCGCACATAACTACCAGATATTCTAAGCATCACATTATTTGCATAAATTGGTGTAATATTTTCAAATGTCAAATCATTGCACACTATTTTAGCCTGCAAAAGGTTTCTTTGAATGAAGGATGCACAAACCAGGTAAACTGTGGCTCAACAGGTCGCTGTGAAATTCTGGCACACATTCTGAACTACATCCGCGACAAGGGGAAAAAAATTCAGCCTAGATCGCTATCAGCTTGTCTAGAAAGTTGTTAGCTCCGGTTGGCCCAGCCACAGACATTCCCCTTCTTCCCCCCCTCCCCTAGTCCCCACTCCGCGTCATTCCCTCGGTGAGGGTAAGGGGGAGGGCTTTAATAAGGACAGCAGGGTCATGAGTTGACTCCGTAATTTGAAGCGGAAATCGTCCACTACTAGCCCTTAATTTGCAGTCTCCTGCTTGACTGGGCTCCGGGTATCCAGGCCAGTTGAGGTCACTGTACTGGCAAAAGTGATCTGGCTTCAACTGAGCAATCATATTCTCAATTTTTTTCCTTTTTTAACATTGAAGGGGGCTACTTCTGTTCCCCCCCCCTCAAGGTGGCTCAATGGCATCAGGAAACAAAGTTTTAAGAACTTTATCCTATAAAAAATTTGTTTCATTATAATGGCAACATTGACCAGCAATCATATTTTGAAGTTTTAATTTTATTGCTGGTAGGGCGATATTTGTTTGTGTTGGGGGGGTGCCGCAATTGGGTCAGGAAACAAAACTTCAAGAAGCTTATTCTATGAAAAGTTTGTACTTAGCTTTTCAAAGTTCGCTGTACTGATAACATCGAAACAGGCTTCAATTCCAATCTTATTGATTTTCTAAATCTATTTGTCTGTTAATTGAAGGGGTGTTTCACATTTATTTTTCGGAGGAGGAGGGGGGGGGGGGGGATGTGGAGAAAGAGTTCCCAGAACTGTATTGTATGAAAAGTTTGTATATTTTTTACATTTCATTTTGAGAACACTGTTTTAGCAACATTGAGGGGGTTGGGACTAGAAGATTTATTATTTGTCCATCTGACGCTGCTTCTTTATAAATTAAAAGGAAGTCCTGTACGAAATTAGTATAGTAATTTAAAATCATAATAAAGCAATATTTATAGAATGTTTTTCATGATAACAAAAAGCTTTACACAGGCAACGACATACATGTACAAGGACTAAAAAGATGGTGAATGGAGATTGGATTTTGAAATGGTGCCAACAGACAGTGCTTTTGAGATGGGATAAAATGGTTTGATAATATTGCTCATTTTTGTTTCTTGTTCTTTTCTACAGTTGACATCTGGTCCATTGGTTGTATATTTGGTGAGATGATTCGGGGTCAGGTGATGTTTCCGGGAATGGATCGTATCCTTTACACTCTTGCTTTGTACTTCGATGCCCAATTTTTAAACAAAAAAATTGAATCAAATACTCCCTTTTTGTGACGAACATTTCATTGTAAAATTACCAACCTGAAAACGAAAGCAAGTCATTAACTCTAACTCCCCACGCATTTTGCTAGGATGCAACCTCAATCCTGCAAAATACTCCAACTGCCTCCCTGTAAAAATTGCGTACATCCTCAATCCTGCAAAATCCTCCCTTCTTGAATGTGGTCCTTGGAGGGGTGACCACTGCCTCAATTCTGCAAAATCCTCCAGCAATCACTATCAATATGTTGAGGCAGAGCCAGTGACATCCTGGACAGTGCAGAGGAATTTCAACTATATAATAAAGGCCTACATTTATTCTCGGCTGAGCACAAACAACACAAGGTCCGGCCCAAGACCTTGACACAGTGCATCCTGCAAAATCAGCCGCACATTTCTGCCATATAGCCTCAATCCTGCAAATTCCTCCATGAGTTGCCACATAATATATACTTCTGCCTGGAGTCCATGAGACTTGCTCCACAGAGCTGGATCTCAATCTGTAATCATGCTTCCTTGACCGCTCGACCTCCCAGACATCGACCAGTGGAATAAGATCATTCAGCTCCTGGGTAGCCCCTCGCAGAAATTCATGCAACGCCTGCAGCCCACCGTCCGTACTTACGTGGAGAACAGGCCCAAGTACCAGGGTCATGCCTTCGAATCGCTCTTCCCCAACGAGCTGTTCCAACGGGAGCAGAGCGTGACGGAGCCTCAGAAGTTAAATGGTAAGGCAATTTTTCTTTTCCCACATCTTACGACTTTCTCCGACCCAAAATTGCGGAAGAGAAAAAAGGATTGCCCTCGGTAATAAAATCTTAACAATAGATTGTTCTTGCCTCGTTTTCAAGAATGTCTTCCAAGGAACAAGATTTAAAGAACTGTAATCTAGCTTCCTTTAAGATACTATAAATGTCGGCCAGAAAACAGTGGCTTTTCATGCTTTCGAGATCAATGTACAAGTAGACTAAAGTTACACTCAACTTTTAGTATAGATACATGTACCCCCGCCCCATCCCCCCCCCCCCCCAGAAAAGAGAAAATAAAATAAAATCATGGGAAAAAAATGCAAAACCAGAAGCACTTTTGCTTCTTACAGTGAATGGACAGAGGTAAAAACATGAATTTCTTTCATGAAATATCATTTTTAAATTAGTAAATTTTGGAATTTCCAGTAAAAATGTAATCATTTGAATTTCCGTTTTCATTTTGAAGCTACCATGGCGAGGAGATTGCTGTCCAAGATGTTAGTAATAGACCCGGCCGAGAGGATATCGGTTGACGAGGCGTTGGAGCACCCCTATATCAATGTATGGTACGACCCGGCAGAAGTAGAAGGGGTATGTTAAAGTGCATGACCTCGAAATTGTAAATTTACTTTGGCCTTTTCAGTAGGGGTGTCGAGACACTGCACTTGGTTCTTTTGAGGGGCTTGTCAAACCAAGAATTTACTGTGTTTAAATGCTTTCCTAAAAAAGTGCAAATTTCAAAAGTTTCAAATCTATTTTGAAGCAGAGTGTTTCACAATTATGCTCCCAGTTACGGCTCTAGACCAATTGTTCAAATGCAAGACTTTAGTCCCCATGGAAATTTGAAATTCAGGAAGTTTGAGGAATTTCTAGCAGTGTGTTCGGAGGTTTAAAGGATTTCGGAAATTCTTGTAAAACTGTTGAAAAGTGCGAGGCCAAACAGGACTAGACAGAATGATCTTGTGTAAAAATCCTAGCTCCCCCCTCTTCATAGAAACAACACTGGAGTGGAGATGGGAAGAACAAGGCCAGGGTTGGGGCAATGCCCTACTCCAGCTGTCTGCTTTGATGCTATCTGTCTTCCGCTGTATCAAAGTCACCTAAATCTTTGGCACGTTTTGGCAGACGATTTGCGCAATTTCCGATTTTTGAAAGCTGTTTCAATTCAAGTCTTGCATCCGTGATAATGCGAATTCCATGTGTGACGTCAGTAGGAAAGACTTGATGGGTTGAAACGGCTGCCAACAAAATCTGGGTTTGGATTTGGAATCAAGGGCGTTGGCTTTGATGTATCGTTGTCGTAGACTTTATTGTCTGCCCGCTTCCAAGGAAGTCATCAGGACCTAGACACCACCATCTGGAAAAATTTGAAATCAAGTACCGGTGGCCTTCCCACCTGGAAACACTGTATTAGTCCCGTTATTTTTTGAATTTCCAAAAAGAAAAGAAAATCCCTCTGCCTGTAGTGCCGTACTTACCCATGTGGTCCGTAGACAACGTATGGTAGTGACACCTCTTGTAAGTGATGCCCCACAAAGAAGGTGTGGCTTTCAATTGTCTTTTCAATCAGCTGGAAGAAGATAAGTGTTGAAATAAATTTATGAATTGTTTTTGTTTGGTTTTTAGCCGGTGCCGATCACTTATGACCACACGATAGATGAGAGAGAACACACAGTGGAGCAATGGAAAGGTAAATAAGATAAGATTTCGTTTTATATCGGGTCCTGTCAGGATATCCTAAGTGGACTGTTTGCCCTACTCACAAGAGCGAGCACTTACCAGCAAATGTCAGATTTTGTCCGTTTATACAGTTGAACTGGATGGACTCTGTGCATGTAGAGCCCAGTGTACAGGAAACATCGCGTGCGTGTACGGGTTCGCTCGCGTATGGTGCGAAGCAGCATGATTACTATACCTCATACATATTCATGATCGAGAGCCAAAATCTCACTGGTCCATTCACCATCATGTGCCGGATGCTATTTTTGCTGTTTACCAAGCCAGCGCGCAACTATTCATGCACAGGGTAAATACGCATGCACAGTAGACTGTTGGATGGGTTACTTGTGCGACAGTCGACTACACATGCGCTTTACGAAGCAATTGTGGAACTGTCGCATGGGTGTAGTACGCATGCACAAGCATCGCCTTAGCTAGCTACGCATGAAAAGATAGCGGCTTCGCCTCGGGAACTAGTTTGTCAACTTTCAATACCTCGGGGAGCTAATATCGACTGTCCAACCTCAAAGAATGTTATATTTGTATACTAATTCTGTTCTCAATGTGGAATGAGCCATAGCGTTTTCGGGTGATTGCCAGGCGTTGTCGCCAGGCATTGTTATGTTATCGCCATGCGTTTGAATGTCTCTCCCAGGGGTCTCCCCTAACTGGCAGGTTCTGTAGGCCAGAAAGATTCGATTTGTTGGTACCTGCACTGCAGATGGACATGAAGTGCAGCCTGCCACTCACACTGCATGGTATTGCAAAAGCTTTTCGTCATTTGAGTTATAATGTATGAGCTAAATTGACTTGGGGCGAAAATCTGCCATGTTAAAAATGACCTTTCGGTAGCCTGCTAATTCATTGTTTATAATGACCGCCTTTTCTGTTTTCTCCAACAGCTCTTATATATCAGGAGGTCATGTCCTTTATGTGTAATAGCGGGGTCTATGTTGGTATAGAAAACTGCAGAGATTCTGATTGTAAGTACTCCAAAACTGTTTAAAACCATTTAAAATATTTGCTCAAGTATTTGTCTAAATTTTTACTTAAAGATAATTTATGAACCTACCCTGTGAGAAGTCGAAAATGAGTTGATATTTTGTGTTGAAGTTATCAATTCACATTCTAGCTTAATCCTACTGCTATTTAAACAGTCACAGATGGTCAAAATTCACTTCCACTTCCCCTGCTATACTTTTAACAAAGGCTAGTCACCAGCAGTCAGATCATATGTCAAGCAAGCACTGTGACTAGTCAAACTGGGTCAATAGACAAAGCAGGCAACAGCTGTTTTATCACTCACCTGGAGTCAAAGCATAGCTGTATCAAGTTACTTAAACAATCCAGTCAATCCTGCTTTATTTGGACTTGGAATTCTTAACTGCTGAAAACAGTCACGTGTTTGATTTTGACTGAAAGGACTACTTGGCACATAATGTATGTTTGCAAAGGACGGTTAAAATTTGTGTAGCAGCGACCGCCATATTTGTATCACCAAAGAACATGGTCTATGCAAAAAGTTGAAATTGTGTTTAAGAAAGTAAAAGAGGCATTACATTTGAGCAACACATTTCCTCCATTCTTTTTCAACAGCCATGGAGCACTGCGGATCCGAGCTAGATATCGCCCACGCAGCGGCAGGGGGTGTGATAACGGCTGCGTCACACAACGTGTCGCACGGTGCGACACAGTCAGCCTCCAACTGCGCCTCCAATAGTATGTACAATGCTCACGGCGCACACTAGCCACGTATGTACGCAACTACAAACTAACAACGTCCATAGGTTGCGGAACTCAGAAAAAATCCTCCGTAAAGCAAACTGTAAAACGTATAAACATCACAAAAGATTGTACATCATTTGCATATGACCTTTGACCCTGAGGACATATCTGCTGAGTGTTGACCCGGAAAGAAAAATGGACGGTGCTTGTGTAAAAACAAAAACTTGATGTGAAGTATAAGGGAAGTCAATTTGAGTTAAAGTGAACGCAAAAGTTTTGAAGTACGCAACTTGAACTCATTTGGCTTGAACAAAGGAGGTATATATGTGAATGGCAGTGTGTGTGTGTGCTGTAAAACAAAACAAAAAAAACTCATTGTGCTTTAAATGTTGATTATTCCTCCAACATACGCTGGCAAAGTTGTTCAGGTTTTTTGGCAAGTTTCTTTGACTTGTAAGATATACGTAATATCCTAAAGGTGTTTTCAATTTGCAGGAGAACATGTTGAAGACAAAAAAGACATATGTCAACATTTTTGTCAAAGCCAATATTGCCAGGAAATTCATTTTTAATGTCGGCAAATAAATGTTCACATTGTCTACGTCTTCGTAAGAATCAGGAAAAATCAATTTATTTCATCTCCAGCATTCAACAGTAAGCCCAGAGTCCATGGGTTTTTAACCTTGGCATAATTACGTTTGTCCACATTTTCAAGATAGCACTAAAGATTAGCATAAACGTTTCAGCCAAATGTGAACCCGGTGCAACTCTCAAACTCTATATTTCATGCAATGTGTTATTTGCCAACATTGAATTTCTCCCAGACTTTGACATGTTTGTGAGACAAACCATCCTAAAAAAAACTGTAACAAAAAGGCAAGAATTGTAAGCAACATGATACATACCAAAGCAAGCAGCCTGTGACTTCAAGAGAATGTTGTTTGCTGCCCTCTACTGTCCAATATTGGTATTACTCTGGCATTGGCTGGATTTCCTCCCTTCCCCGTGTGGTTGCATTGTTAAAGTATGACAATACCGCCCTCGTGTGTTTCAAAAAAGGGTCATCGCGGAGTACACAGTGCATCTGCGCACCCTTGGGCGTCCTTTGTTTTTATATATACATATATATATATGATGGTAATTGTATTTAAAAAAAAAAAATATCAATTTTTCCCACAGATTTTTACATTCTGTGTTTGCAAACTACGGTGTGAATTCAATGCGTGTAACTCATTTTTTTTCTTCTCTTAACAGCTGCAATTTTGTGGCTTTTGCTCGATAATAATTACTCATAAAATGTGAATTTGCCATTCACATAAATGTGACTGGTTTAGATTTCTTGTTATGAAATCGGAAGAGAAAACAACTCTAAAATGATCCCGATATGTTTTGGGTATTTTAGGACCCTTTTTAGGACAATACAAAAAATACTTTGTAAAATTTATGTCATGAGGCCATACCTACATTGTAGATTTCCTTCTTTTTTTTGTATTGCAAAGCACAACATAAGTTTTGTAGTCATAACCTTTAATTATGCAGATGTTTGATACATTTTTTTTTAGAATGTGTCAGTTCATACCTTTGTGTATGCATGTACTTTTTTTTTTTTTACTAAAGACCCTATTGATACATCTATAAGAACCCAAGGAATGGCTGGGTGCAACATATATTCTTAATTCAGCCTAGTGTTTTGCAATGTGAGTGTCAGGGAACCATACCTTGTATCATGACCGCACAAAACACCATTATACAATTTTAACAAGAAGGCACTTTTTTTCACGAGTACAATTGTTACACATACATTGATTTTGAAATTGTTGGCCAATAACTGAATCAGATCGCAAGAAAGGGAGAAATGTTCAGATCGACGATTAGTTCATTTTGGTGATGATGTTTTTCTTAACTTTGTGAACTTTTCACAAACTTGGTTTTTTTCTCTTTGCTTCATTATGCACCTTGTGATTTAAAAAATATTCTGCAATGTTCTTGAACCCTTTTGGGATGTTGCAACCACTTTCTGTTCTTTTTTGCACAACTGTAGTGAGAGCTGCCAACATTGTCAATCCAAAAAAATGGTCCGAGTAGAAGTACATTAATGAAAGTTCTGTTCTGTTTGAGCCGAGAAAATGATATGCCGAGGAGAGGTGCATGCAAGTTTGGTTGCAGCTGCCAAATTGGTTAAATGTAAGAAATCTAGAAGGTAAACTTCGCAGCTTTCAGAAGATGCTAAAAACAAAAAACACAAAATGACTTTTAAAATGACATATTTAAGTTAAAAACAGGGTTGGGAACACTATAGGAATTGAAAGGTGAACGTTACTGATACAAGAGGAGGTTTTTGTCTGTTTTTTTTTTTTTTTTTTTTTTTTGGCACTTTTTTTGCATTTTGATTGTCTTCCATTTGAATTTGTTGGCGGAAAAGTGAGTGTTTGGCAACTCTTTGAAATAAACTTGGTTGTCTTGGTTACTGGCCTGAAAGTCCTCTCATTTAAACCCAATAAATTCTGATTGTCATGTGATATTGCATCACTGTTATTTCGTGCCAAATGTGAGCAATGCAGAAAAAAACTTGAGGGGCATCTTGTGTGTGTATCTTAGTAACACTGTTGCCATCTTTGTCTGGTTACCTGAAGTCAGGACACGTTGTAGAAGTGGCCCGCCTGGCTGGGTGCCAGACTACATTGGCCACACACTTCACTGTCACCCTCGTAAACATGTACTTAAACAAAATGGTGACTTATTCCATTGCGTAAACATAGGGTTGGTGGTGGAATGCAAAATGGAAGGATAAAAGTGGGAATTTTCGCTTCGAAATTGTCTGAAAGTTGAAATGTACAGGCTGTGCTTAATGTACCCAGCTGTGTTTGTAAATGTGTGTACAGCTGCCTTCAAGCATTGATTGTCCAATGAGGGAACAGCGTTCTGGTCACATGTTACTTGGTGAATGGAATATGAAAAGAAATACTCCAAGCAATATGATTTTCTGCAAATTGTTTAGACGAATCCATGACATAATCACTGTCAACGCATGAGGCCCCCTTCAATGGAGAAACCATTGTGCACGCTATTGTACAAAGCAACTGCCTCTTGATGGATTATCTGAACAATAGCTAGCACAATGCTGTCGCCATTGAAGGGGGCCTTCATGATTGAAGTGATAAGCGTGTTTGGATTGGCCTATAGCATTGTGATGGTCGAGTTGTGTGGTTAAAACATACCAGCGGTTTGAATACCATTGGTTAATAGATATGATGGCGGTATGGTACTTTTATTTTGAAACAAACATCACAACTTGCACACACGAAAATCACTGTCTGCTCTCAACAATTGCCATAGCCAATCCATTGGGACACAGCCATACATTTACTTTCAAAGTAACATCCTAAAATGTATTTCTGCAGTAGCATTTTTTTGTTCTTTTTTCTTACATAGATTAGTTTGCACAGAATTAATGAAGAACTTTTTTTCTGGGAAGGGGATGGGAATGTTTCTTGGCAGTGCCCAAGCGTTTATTTGTGTGGATTCGCCTTCTTGCCGATATTCAAAAAGAATGTTTGTTTTTTTAACAATGAGTTTGGTTTACAGATTGTACATGCACTTTGAGAGGACACATTTCAAGGTTTTTGTGGTTTATGAAATTATTTTGTATCTTCATTTATTTCTGCCTGGGATTGGCTGAAACTGAGTATGGATAGTTGTTATTTTTTTTCCTGTGTAAATTGTATATAAATTAGCTTATAGTGAAACCAGTGCAGAGTTGCCCTTTAAATATGTGTCTTTGTGGTAAACAGCTTAAAAAAAAAAAAAAGTGAAAGGTCATGACATTCCTCACATGGTTACCGTCTCTTGAGTGTACTTTAGATCCTCCGTTGACTGGGTATGTTTACCAAGGATACATAAACGTCCATTCAAGATGGCCGCTAGTGAGCATTTTAAGAATATGGCAGCCGAAAGCTACACTATATTCCACTGAAATTGTCAGGGGATGAACTTGCGTTTGCCAGTGAATGTACCACTTTTGATTGTCTGCAATATTTTTTTCCCCAGCAAACTAGAACGTTTGTGCCTTACACACTGGCCAAATTCAAGAAGACTTTAATCAATTTCTGACTGTAGGCCATCATGTTAAAAAATTTAGGGGATACCTTAAAAGGATCTCTACATGCTCTACCAAATTGTGGGCAATTTGTGAAAGTGGCTGCAGTGTTGCTCTGGCTGCCCTTTCTTGAAGGCCATTACTTCAGTAAATGCTGGCCACAATGGTGGCCAGTTTTTGTTGGTGGCCCACTTTTTGGCTGCTCTTTTGAAGTGGGCCACCATGTGCAAGTGATCTGACTTGATCTTCCGACTTGATCCTCTTGAATATTCAAGGCATACGATGACGGTGGCCTTTTTTGGCAAGTTTTATCATGGCCACAGAGGGCTAGTATGATTATAACGCAGGCCATTTTTTGGGGGGAGGCCATTTTTTTGGGGGAGGCCATATCGGCTTGTGTGGCCTGTAGATAGAGATGTCCCTGTTGAGATGTGAACCATTGGAGGTATTGTCACTAGCCTGGTCAGATCCACAGTTGAGGTTGGTTAAACATTGTCAAGCATTTTGCCGTCTATCGCTCAACATTGTATAAAACAAAAACACCTTAAGTTGCTTCTTGCATGTAGATGTACTACAAGTATCACTCAAGTGTCTGTCATATCCAGCCTGGCTCATCTCACCCAGTGTTTGAAAACAATCTGTTACGCACAAAGAGTATGGAAGTGGATCTTACCAGGCTAAATGTCTTTGGGAGAAAAAAAAAGGGAAAAAGCTGTGACCAGAAGTGTTGTATGTATGTACTACAGTACTTGTCATTGTGTATGTTGATTATAGGAAAAACCAGACGATTTCTGTGTAAGAATCAACAAACTTCTTGTATAAGCTGGTTTAAAAATTAAACAGAAAACTCCTTTGTAAAAAGTACTATAGTAGTACTTTAATACTACATTAACTTAATACTACATTGATGTAACACTGTTAAGTAAAAGGAAAAAAAAAACTACACCGATGTAGTTCTTTTGTAAGTAGTACTTGTTGATATACCACACCGTAGTCATGTACTGCTAAAGAACTGCACCCTGTGGAAACTCTGTGCGGTATTGGGACTAGTATTGGTACTAATATGGTACTGGTATTGGTACTAGTATGGTACCAGTATTGGTACTAATATGGTACTAAAATTGGTGCCAGCATTGATACTAGTATTGGTACTAGTACTGCTACTAGAAGTGGCGCTAGTATTGGTACCGGTATGGGTACTTCAATTGGTACTAGTATTGGTACTAGTATGGTACTTTTTCTCTGAGGATAGGAGCCAGATTTTGAAACATCTTACTGACCACAAAGTAGGTTGTTAAATAAATCTATACTGTGAACAGTGAAAAAAACAAAGTCTGTGTTTTTGGCTTTTTTTCATTGTTTGTTTGTGGAGTTGGTATTAACCAGTTTGCGTCGGAGGACGTGATACCACGCACTGGCTGTTTTTATAACACAGGCACAGCCGATGGGTTAAGACGTCAAGATTGCCTCGACTCGCCTCCGGATGACGTCTGAACACGCTATTCCCTCATGTCTTTTTCACACACACAAAGTCCATGAAGTCTCTGGAGGCGGACCGTGTGTTGATCTTGAATTGGCTGTTGTGCACTGCCTGTTTACGCTCAAGTGCGAATCAGTATAATTTGTGACGTTTGGCTGTATATAAGAATTTGGTGGGAAATTTTGCCTTTTTGCGAAAATCGAAATCAAAAAGCGAAAATCTTTAAGAATTTGGTGGGAAATTTTGCCTTTTTGCGAAAATCGAAATCAAAAAGCGAAAAAAAATTTAACCCTGAATATTTAGTGATGTTTGTACCACGGTGGTTCAGTACTTGAAGAAATCCACAATTTGTCATCAGACTTTGTACCACTCTGCAGGGGCCAAATTTGTAGTGAAGTCATCACAAGTTAATCACATGTCTTCCAGTCTCAAGTCAAGTCACAAGCCATCTTAAACGAACTGTAACAAAGGCATCCTTTTGTCATTGTTCATGGGCTGTGCATAAAAAAGGCACTTCTTGGCCACTTTCGAGAGCCACGTTAAGTGGGATACAACGCATACTGGTGCGAGTTTATGGTGTAAATCGAGGACACACACACGTGCAACATCATCGATGAATTGAGGACAGGAACCAAGTGAAGTGGCGTCTGCATACTACATTCTTTCCCATGGAGCTTGTTACACAATCACTAAGCATAGTTCCCAGTCAAGTTTGAAACCCCGGGAAAAAATCCAGTGGTCAATGAGCGACCAGTGTCCTATTTCATGTCCTATTTTTTTGCTGATCTCACAAGATCTTGCTGGAGTTACATTTCTACTTAGGTTACCAGACTTGAAATTTGGAACCAGTCATCAGCGCGCATCATATTGAGTGGGTCACATGGATGGCATGGCACCTGGATCCCTTGACGGGCGTTCGGCTTTTGGATGTTTTCAGATGAAAGTCACTGCTCCAAGGTCCAGTTCCATGATGCTACTTCAGTTTGATGTGGTGTTTATAAGTACACATGTACTTGCACTCAAGAAATCCCTATGTAAGTATATGTAAACCCTTGTGGTAAATTTTGCATGGCCCATAAACGTGGTTTTTTTTATCATCTGGTGTATGATGTGATAAGTGTCATTCACTCTGCAGCCATATTTGTCCGGTTCCCTGAAGCCACAGTTAAGAGTCCTTTGAAGTGGGTCACTGCATATGAAGCATCAGTCTATTTGGAATCAGTCTTCTGTAAGCTGAATAGAAGGGTCGATACATGTAGATGTACTTCTTAATTTCTTCGAAACGCCCCTGCCCGCATCCAGGGTAACTTTGAGGCAGCTACTCTCAATCACAAACTTTGACAGCTTGGCACGTTTCGCCAAGTCTTGCCAAGTAAAAAACTCCCGGAGGCGCTGAAATAATCCCAAATGTTATTCGAAAACTGTCTCTCCTCGTCTCTTTACGCGGCCCCTTGGTATGTCTGACAACCCGTACCATGCACAGCTTGAAAAGGAGCCAAAATTACGCATCGCTCTCTTCCGCACCGGTCCCTGGGTCTTATTAACTGCGGCGGATCTCCGGGCTGGGCGGCATACCATTCGTGGGTACGTTTGCGACTCAGTCTGTGGTCGTGCCAGCGGTTGCTATTTATACCGCCCTCGTCATAACTCTGTGGTCGCGTGTTCATCCCAAAGCGCAGCGCAGTGTGTCTCACGCAGGAAAGGAAAGTTTGGAGGGACCTCGAAAACCCCAAAGTACACTGCTGGGATTGCTGAGGTTTTGACGGGATACTTTTAGCGCCTGTGGTCTGATGCTTGTTGGTACTTGTCAACTCATGTTTTGTATGACTGCATTGAGCTCTGTAGAATTAGAGGGAAGACACTAAATGATCACAAAACATGACTGCGCATCCTGCCTCAGTTAACATCTTGCTGTTGAAAAGTCTTAATGTTGTGGGTGGATTTCTAGGAAACTTTCGGCTTTGACAAGGCAAAATCAAAATTTGAAGGATAACACTTGTAACTTGTTTTTATCTTATTTTTGCTCATCACAGTCAGTTTATGACAAATAGAACCCCTTGGACAAAGCACCAAGGTACAGGTTTTGTTGTGGGGAGTGTGGTCTAGTTGGTAGAGTTTGTGACTCATGATCAGAGGGTCAGGGGTTCGAATCCAGCTGCTGGCCATATGTTGTGTCCTCGGGCAAGCCACCTCACCCCACTTGCCTCTCTCCACCCAGGAGTATAAATGGGTACCAGAATTAGATGGGGAGTAACCTGCGATGGACTAGCATCCCAACCAGGGGGAGTAGAAATATTCTCAAATGTTTCATGCTCCCGAAACGGGAGATAAACACCGGCTTGATGGGCCACATTGGCTTGTGACAGACTTTACTTGCAGGTTTTGTTATTTAAATTTAGTGACATGCAATGAAA